TATTATTGGATTAATAAACCTTGATGAAAAAGAGTATTTTGAAGAAATATGTATGTTTTTTAAATGATGCAACTCGAATTTTCTAAACGTGAACCTCTCCAAAACGGAGGGAATGATTTTTTTTATTTTAGAAGAGAAAAACTAACAATCCCACCACTTGTAATTGAACAAGAAACAGTTGAAATCACGGATTAATACAAATATCTTGGTCTTACAATCGACAACAAATTTTCATGGCAAAAATCACGTAAGCAATATCGTTAAAAAGGTAAATCAGAGGCTGTACTTTCTGAGGAAACTTAGGTCTTTCATTCTGAATCCTTCCATCCTTCAGATATTTAACACCACCACAAGACAAACTTTCATAAACTTTGGTATCACTTGCTATGGTAGCATTTAGGAAGGCAGCACATCATAAAAATAAACAAGTTGATCAGAAAGGCATCAAGAACAATTGGTAGAGACCTAAGTAACTTTTAATATCTGAACAAAACAAACGTTCTAAGAAAAGGCAGAAATAATGCTTTGTGGCCATAGCCACCCTCTGACTTCGGAATTTCAATTATCGACTAGCAGTAAATGATCCATTTCCCAAAAAAGCAAAATCAGACAGGTATAGAAATTCATTCGAACCAACTGCCGTGAGATTACTGAACACACAGTGCTACAAATGAGAGAGAGAGAGAGAGAGAGTTTTACGGAGCGGGTTGTCATAATTTAGTAATGTCCTGTCTTGTTGTGAGAGAAAGCGTGAGTGCACCTTTGTAATTTGTAACGTTTACAGCAATTGTTAACGACCAAGACAAATCTCTCCCTGCGAGATGAATAAAGATTGTCATTGTCATTGTCTCTCTATTTCTTTCTTTCTCGCTCCCTTTCTCTCTGTGTCTCTGTCTCTGTGTTTACCTCTATCTGGCTGTATTGTTTCTTCCTGTGTGCGTGTGTATCTTGCGCTCCCTCCACCGCACGTAAATGGCCACTGCGTCGACAAGCCTTCTATTTGTAGCCAATTTCCTTCACGGTGTACATACGTGTGCTCGCATTGAGAATCTGGACTCCCTTGTGCTTTGTCCCACAATTTATACCCCTCTAACCCTCACTTGTGTAGAGCCTTAAGTGGAACGTGTGGGAGGTTTGTCGATCCCGCTGACTCAGAAAACTCAAAAACTAAAAATAATGAGTCGAGGGTGGTTGGAGGGCGCCACTGGTAAGTACTGTTTCTTAACGTTCCCTGTGTTGTTTCTGTCTGTCCTACTTCCCCCCGGCACTAAATGGGCCATTCTTGAGTCAATGTGCTACTTATTGCATAAAACAAAACAAACAAACATTAAGTGGGTCATGATGATTGAGGAACGTGAATAAATTATGCCCATTTTTTTACCTCTCAACTTTTTAATAATCAAAATAATTATGTGAGGAGTGAGGACATTAAACTTTAACAGTATGCTTTTTTGGTCTTCCTCTGACTTTTTTGCCTTCTATTTCTACAAGAAGAGCAAGATAGTGGATGGTTGACGGGTGCTCTGGTGTGATTTGCTCCTTCTTTCCAATCAACCATCTATCGTACGTGTCTCTCCACTTTCTGCTTTATATTTCTTACTCTCTTGTAACACCTATAACACTCGGCTCATATATGACCTTGTTTTGTTACAAGTACCACAAAACGCTTTCAAAAGCAAGAGCAATATATTCTTCTCACTTATATTATTATTATGTGAAGGATTCGTTAACTCACTGAATATACTCGATATTGTTTTCAACAGATCGTCTAACTGTAGCTGGAACTTGACTTTACCTTTCAGCACCGTTGGCTAATGCGAACAATAGCACTCTTTATTTTTTTATCTCCTCTGTTGTTCGGTCTCTTTGTCCATACATGTATATGTCTCTTGCTTCGTCTGACCCCCCC